CTTGGTTTATTTAGCGACTGTTTCTCTTTTATATCCCCATTTCCTATTCATTGAATGTGCAAAATGACCGTAAACGAGCAATTAATTATTTTTTCCGACTTTTTTTTCCATGAAATCGCAAAATACACGGAGCGGGGATTACGTCACCATGCGACCAACTACATTCAGTGAAGAGTTGTAACCACTTGAGGAATAATATGAACAAATCTACACCTTCAACAAAATTCATTTGTTAATGGCAAACAAACTCTTCTATCAGCTCATAAACATGAATTTATCGTAAAAATTTTCCTGAGTGCATGAACACTTGGTTGACATTCAACATTCTTCCGTCATCGGGGACTTATGGACTTTTTAATTACAGGTTCGTTGATCCCAAGGAGCTGGTCAGCTGACCAGCGACATCCTGACCGATTGCGATAACTCAAAGTGGGGCAATGCAATCCGATGCAGTGGAATAAAAATCGTACAGTGATGATTATAGAATACCAGGAGATATCAGAACGCGTTCACATCCGGCCCCTCTTCAATCACCGCGAAAGTGACTCTATGAATATATTTTTCATTAAAAAATAAGAAAACATTGGTTTTAAAACTATGAAAAAAAATAAAGGGGCGATTAATTGTGAGAAAAATCCATGAGTAATGAATGCAGGAGAGAGGAAATTGCGTTAGTACATAGTTTTATGCACAATTATATTATAAACAGTTGTTCTACGTTGAGGGATTCCAAGATGAAAAGAAAATTATCGTTTTGCACGAGCGGAAGGAAACGCTTTCGACAAAACTCCATGAGGAGTGAATTGCCTTTCATTATTTTATTATTTTTCCCCTTTTTTTTACAAATAAAAGAAACAAAAAGATGGATAAACATTAGCAGGGGTGGGGTATAATTTAACGATGCAACGTATGATGAAAATAAAATCTTTGTGGCTGCGGATTAAAAACGATCATCTCCGTTCCACGATTATGAAAGTACAAGCTTATACACGATGGGGATTAGTACTTGAGTGTATAAGAATCATGCTGTAACGCGGTTTGTAACGGCCAACGGTATTACAAAAGTGACAGTGAAATGGCGGCTGAGCGCACACGCGTTTCACTGCAGCCACACATTTTCCCTCGACTCGTAATAGTATTAGTATTCAACTTGGTAGTTATGATTCCACGGGGTTATAGATGTGCCTCTTTTACCATTTTACAGTGTCAAAAAATAGAGAGAAATATTTCATATTCCGAGGTAAAATGGTAGAAGGCATTAGATGCATTGCAGACACGTGCTGGAAACCACGTGTTGAGCCGGAAATGTTTTTATGGATTATATAGCTTTCTAAATACATTAAATTCTAGAAATTGCAGTTTATCGCAGTATTTAATTCCAGAATGGGAAAAAATGAATGAATTGGAAACAATATCCGTTTAGACGGAATTAAATTTGTTTGAGTTTGTTTTATCTCATAACAAATGTTATTTGCAGTCGGCAGACGTTCTGATGGCGGTAAGGTAAAGAGAGAGAGAGAGAGAGAGAGTGAGAGAAGTATACATAACATTACAGAACCAAAAGATTATGCATACCCGATAACCAAAGACCCAAAATACAAGTCAAAACAGAGTGAAAAAGGTTAAAAAAAACAGAAAAATATTGAGCAAAGAAAAAATAAAAATAAACTTGCGACCTCGAGTGTGTGCAACACGTTCTTGTATTCGATTTTATCCGTGGGGATCTTATCTCGGTGACATTGCCATATCTTGAGAGCACATATACGAGGGCACTGGTTTTTTTCAAGTGCATATCGACAAAACGCTAGGGGTACGGTGGGGAAAGAAGTGTTTGAAAAAAAAAATGTTTGAAATTAAGTAAAAAATAAAGAAAAAGCGAATGAAAGAGAGCCAGTGATTCAACAGTGATAAACTGTTGGTTTGTTTTTACATCATTCTCGAAACTTTATTATGCATCTGCTTGAATTGTAAATAAAAAGAAATGAGGTATGAAAAAACAGATAAACATTGAAAACAAATAGGGGCCATAAATCGAAGCTGTGAATAATTCGAAGTCATTGATGTGATTTTTTCCGCTTTTTTATTCGATTAATGACTCAATAAAATTGGTTTCTCTTTCTCTTAATGTCTCGCTTCTAGCTAGTTGCTCGAATTATCGAAAATTTGAGTGATTCATTTGTTCGAAAATTATCCGTGGTCATGAGCATAGTCAGTTTGTTTATCAACGAACGACACATCAACGCACATGGTTGCGGCATTGTATTTTCTATCGTTGATGAATTATTGCGGCACTACGGTTCACTCGTGCCTACAACAATTATCCCCGAGCTTTCCACGTGTGTTTTGCAACCTCCAAAGTGCACCCGATGTTTCACTGCGTGGTTTTTTACTCGTACAGATCCATAATACTGTCTATTTATGGAAATTCAACGTGAATAATTTTTGTTCTTACACTGAAATAAATTGGAATAACAAAGCCAGTGGGTAAAAAAATGTGAAGTTGAATAATCGGAAGTGCAGCGATAATGTCGTACTGTTCGTACGAAAGAAAAAAAAATCAACAGATGAGTGTCACATTTGGTTAATGATTCGTAAATCCCGTATAACTCGTGATGACACACAATTGAGGCGTCACACTTTACGAACTTAATTATTCTATGGTTGAACATAAAAATTAAAATAAATTGAATGAATCATGAACAAAAAAAATACGTTCCTGTTTTGAGAGTAATTTTCACGGGCCCATCGTTAGCCTTCAGGAAACAAAAGCAATAAAAAAAAATCGTGAGATTGAAACGAGGCCACAATAAGAAAAAACAAGAAGGAAACAGTAGAAAAATATCTGAGGGCACTAATTTCGCTCGGTGAGAAAAAGAAATTGGAACTGAGACGAAAATTAGGGATCTCTGCTGTGGCCGTCGGCACACGCGGACGTTACAAATACACGTTCCACTGGTACTAATCTCCCTCTACTACGATGTTCGACTCTCGTGCGACCGAGCAAACTTCCACGGTCGTCCGAGAATTGTTTTCTGCACGCTTCCACGCTACCGTGTCTCTCTCCGTCTTTTTCTTCAACTTTTTCCATCTCTCAACCCAACAGCTTATTATTTTTTGTCTTGTTTCCTCATCCCTGGGCAGACACAGACTCTAAACCGAGGGATTGTTCACTGTCACACGTCATCACGTGTGAATTTTTCACGTGTCAAACGTCATTCACGGTTTTCGCGTTTTTTTTCTCACTTTTTCTTCGGTATTTTTTTGCTCTTTTTCCTGCTTCGAGCGTTTCAACGACCCCGGATAATTGCCGGTCTATCACACCCGCTCGAACGACATATTATACGTCCCGTGAGGTCTCTGAACTCGTTCAAGGGTACTAATTATCCAGTATTTCAGGCATTTCAAAAGCGGGCTATTTGTTGAAAAAAAGGGTCCGGAAAACAGATATTCGAGATAACATGAATATAACATTACACATTTTGTTTTCTTTCGTCACTCGACCTTGAAACTGAATTATTCATTAATCATTGAGATTCATAAAATTTTGGACATCGGTGATTTTTTTTCGGCGGAAATGATGAATGTGGGACAAAGTGAGTGGATATAAATCAATACCTCATCCGAAGTATTTCATCAGATCGTTGTGCTGTCTTTTGGTTAATTCTGGTGAAATATGCGGTCTGATCGATTTCCATGAAGAAGAAGGTGGAGTAAAAAAAGGAGGAACGAGTCAATTCGATTCGGGGCTCGGTTTCTCTAGTCTAGAGCGATAAAAAAAAATACATGACCCGAGACTGTATACCTGAGGGCCATTGGTAAAACTCTAGAATTAGAGGCACAGCCATTAAAATCCAGAAGGGATAATTGGCCCTGAGGTTTCTCAAGTCGGTATCTTCTTTGCACTCGCGACTGGCAAATCAAGCAGAAAAATAAATCACCAGGCAGACAATAATTATAACTATTTCCAGAGAAAAAAAGTACGAATTATTTGAATAATGACATAGATGCTGGGAATTTTAGGTGAAAATGTCAGAAAAGGAGTGAATTGTTCGATGTTGAGGAGAGCTTAGAACAAATAACTGGCGCGGAGAGCTTTAAAAGTTGGGTTGATTGCTACGGAAGTAAATTTTGTCCTTGATAATTTTATCACCGATAATCCAAGAAAATCCTCGAGTTCGATATTCTTCCGACGTGACCTCGAACGATTTTTTCCAGCGGAGCCAAAACAAACGCTCGGTGAGGCGCATTGCAAAAAAAGGGGGAGAAGTAGGCAGAATGAGAAAGAGAGAGGAAAGGAAAAAGAAGAGACACTCACTGGTGTCGTCGCTATTCAGAGGAGGCGATAAGCATCGAACTTGCCAGGGGGCTTCAGAGCTAACTGCCTGTCAACGAATGTTGCAGAGTGTTTATTTTCTTTTAGTCTTTCCCCCCATAATTTTTTTGTCATTCGCTTCAGTCTCTCGATTACGGAGAAATTGACGTGGAGATGTGCAAGTTCATAATAGGATGGAATGAGAATAAAAAAGATCATTCCCGTATCTGCGAATAATCTGACGCTATTTAAAATTCATCTGCACGTGGGTTTTTTCTTTCTACCTTTCAATGCACTCCACGAGGTGATTGCTTGAGGGGACTTTTTTTCGATATCATTGAGGTTAGATTTCCACTGAACTTGAAAATAAATTATTCTCCCCCCCTCCCCCCGGAATTATGCGCTTCGATTTATTTTTCTCACTGAGTAATTTTGAATAATGTTATTTACCACCGGAAACAGGGACTATCTCTCCATTCATTCATCAACAAGATTTTCGTGGAAACTTGGCACAACTTTTTCGCATGTTCATTATAAAATCAGCGGAGACTCTCGGACGCACGAAAACTCGGCACTTTGCCCGTTCGAACACCCGGTGTTTGACACAAGGAAGTGAAAGACGAGAATTGTGAAGATATTAATGTGTTTGATGGGAGTTTTTTTTTTAATGTGAAGATGAGAAAATTACCTGAGTTGCGTCTGAGTAAGGTGTTGATGAATTTTTATCCACGAGGAGGGATCCAAACAGGGGCATCCCGGAGTTTGTGGGACTGTCCTGCTGTTGTGGCACCATTTTAGGAGCCTAGTCACTTCACTAACGTCGATCAAATCACAAGGAATAAATTTCCACACTTCAATTATTTGATTCCCCCCCGTCCCCAGGGAAATCCTCACTGTTTATTTATGATTTCTTCAACGAGAGTTCACCACTTCAGTTTAACGAATGAGATATCAATGTTTGTAAAAATGAGCTCTTCTCGATTATGCGTGGGGAGCTCGCCTGCGGCCCCAGTGTAATGTTGCCTCTCAATAACACAATGTCAGTGTTTTGAGAGCTCCTTGCCGGCTCGAAGCTCGCGCGTGACTGAAGAAAAGACACTCGTTTGCTCTCTCGTTGTCGTTGCCGCGGGGATTTTTTTTCTACTGCTCGCTGGTCACTCCCTCCTCTCGCATAGAAATTTACTCTCCTCGTTCTTCAACGACAATGTCGGGAGTCCTTGTAAACTCAGTCACTGTATCTATCCAAATCAATTCAATAATTGATCTCAAATTCTCTCTCCTCCCCAATAACAACGACAATGACGGACTCTCGGCACTCTTCGTGCACGTATCAACAAGTAATTCTCCCACGGAGTGAACGAAATTTATCATCAAAGCGAAAAGAAGTTCTTCAATGTACGCGAGACAAAAATTTTGTCCGAAAGAAAACAGAATCAATTTTCAAATAAAAAATCAGCGTATGAAGAATAAAACAATTCACACAGCACGTTCAATTTAATATCGACAGGTTGAATTAAAAATTTGGATTATTATATTCAGTGAAATTCTCTCACGCTCGATATTCGTTCACGGGGTGACATTTTACAAATCCCGCTTGCGTGCGACTAACGATGCTCGCTGAACGAGCGCTCATGTGCTACTGACTCGCGTACCAAAGTGACTGCCGTCTATACTGGTGGTGTTCTGGGCTGCATCAGCTGTGCGGCCACCTCACCCCCACCACTATTTGGCCCCACGCGCGCTCCGCAAGCACGGTCGCGCACGACCAATGGCAGCTAGCGATAAAACCTATACATATCGCTTGTCTCTTTTCATCCTTGAAAAAGCTCGCGATCTCTCTCGCACGCACACGTACGAGAAGAAATGAACGAGAAGAATAAAAAAAACCCCCGATGAAAATTCAAGCGTAGTCCCCGCGTTTTCGTCTCAAGTCTGCCAACCCTCGACGTTTTGTTGCGCGTTTACGTGCAATATACGCGTACGACAGTCGCACTCGGTGTTTCATGTACAAGCTCGGGGGTGGCCCGGTACAGAGACCTTGGGCGAACGTTGACGTTCTCAACGCCCCCGATAGCCAACGCGTGTATTCCTACGGCATTTTTCCACGTGTCTTCCTCAATTATTTTTACTGTTTTTTAAAATAGTTTCGCCGTGTAGTGGAGGGGCGAGGGTTTAACGACATCAGTTAGTGGTCATCCTGAGGAAATATCGTGATTGAGATTCCTCTCGAGTTCTTCAACATTCACCCTCGCATGATCAATTATCACTCGAGCAGTGGTACACATAAAAACTCCACGATCGTATTATGGGGCCTGCAATTTTTTTTTAACGATCCCGAATGATTCAGTTTCTCCTCTTAGTTAAAATGTTCAACGTAAATCTTCAAAATAGCCTTGTAAAAACAACGAATCTCCGATTTTTTTTTTCATCTCCTCCAGCTGAAATTCACTCCATTTTTTTCCGCATTTTTTTGTACATCTTTTTCTTTAATTTTACAAGTGTCAGATAATAAAAGTCAGCGAACCCCGTCGTAAAAGAGCGGCTGTGTGCACGCGAGGTGAACTTTATTGCAAACCCGCCGCGATAGATGTCGTTCTCACCATCACCAAATTACGATAAATGAGAAAGCCCTTCTTTAGCTTTTTTTCATTTATTTTCTCATTCTATCGCCGAGTTGGGCACGTTCTCATTCAATTCCTTTTTTTTTCTCATTTCTCCTCTCCGTCACTCCTCTATCGCTCATTCTCGAATGTATATTCCAATCGACGTTTGGCACGTACCTGCGAAAGATATCTTTGCCCGTGAGCATACGTGGGTATATTGTAGACGTGAAGAGAAGTGGTTATTCGTGCCAAAAAATAATCCGTCTTTTTTGGAGTACAGAGAAGTTGGAGTTGAAGACGAAACAAGAGGATGAGGGAAGGGGTGACGATAGAGATCCTCGATATTATAAGTCAAGTGTGGTGTGTTTATCTGTTCGTTAGTTTTCCACGAATTCATCCAAAAATATAAACGTGCGGCTCTCTTTCGCCTTCGAGATCTCTCTCAGTCATCTTTTTGACTGTGGGAAACGAGAGACCAGTGACAATTTAACCGAGTGAGAATCAGAGTGATGAAGAAAGAGAAGTTTATCAATTAAGGGGAGACTACTATGAGTTTTAAAAGTCACGGGCTATTGGAATGAGATTTCTCACACATTGAAGAGCGATTATATATGTCTAAAAACGAATAATTAGTGCAAAAAATTGATTGTTCATTGTTCATTTGCCCCGCAGAAGCTTAAAATGTTTAAAATACTTCAGGGCCTTCAATTTTTGAGTTACAGAGGTTTTTTGTTTTTCAAAATTTTTGAAACAATGCGTGCAATAACAATTACGAGTTCGTTTTTTGGAATTCGGCTTCTACACAGCTAATTTTGTTTTTTTTTTTTATAAAAAATTGCATGATTCATGTAGCAGAGTCCGAAAAATGTTTCTAAAAGAATTGAGAATATATTTTAAATATTATATTTTAAGGATAATTTTTATGCCGATTTTACATGATGGCACAAATTTTTATACTAAACAAAACGAAATTAGCTGTTTAGGGGTCGAATTTCAAAAAACTAAGTCATAATTGTTATTGTAGGGTAACGAAAAAGTTAACTACTAATTTTCAGGACAATGACATTGAAAGCAATTTAGGGGAAAAAAAAACATGAAAGTTCAGGTTTTTTCCAGAATTTTAAGCAGCATAAAGACGAGAATTTCTTAATTTATTTGAATTTCTAATCTAATATGAATATTCAATGCCAAATTACATTGAATTTTCTGGTTTTCTGTTCATTTTCAGGGAAAAAAGGAACTGAAATTTACAGTTCTCTTTGATTTTTCCGCGAAATTCTTAATTTTCCGTGGTACTTAAATTCGATAAAAATTTCCGAAAAATGTATCGGAAATTTCAGACAAAATTTTTTAACAGTGTAGTCGCCCCTTAAAATGGAAAATTTTCTACATGAACGAACCAAAAATTGTTTCATCTTCCATCATTATATGAGCATTATATGAGCACGCTCCCATGTTTGTTCATTCCAATGCATACGTTTCAAAATCGCGACTGCCAAAGATTATTACGCGTATCTTGCTACTCCGGGCTGAAAACGTGAAATAATGTTAATAATTGTAATGGAAATTGTTTTTTGAAATTAATAAAAATTCGTGATGTATCGCATCACAATTATAGGTGATACTGTTCGCCATTGGTAAAAGACAGCATTGAATCAGGTGTACTGTTTACGATGGCGATACACCCTGTGTGAATGATAAAATTGTAAAGCCTCGCGTCCACTGTAAATTTATTAGCGGGTTTATTTTTAGTATCAGAGCGGTGGGCTTCCATGTGTTTCCCTTTGATTCAATAAAAAAAGGAAATGAGTGAAAAAGAAAGAAGTCGAGCCATGTTGCAACGGTTCTTTCGGCTCGTTGTGCTCTCGAGTTTGGGGCCCCCGACAATTGTAAATGCGTACAATGGTTAATCGAGCCATACACACGCTAAATAGAATAAGAGGAAAATGCCGTCTGCGCACAGAGACGCTCGATGGGAGCGGTTTGCCGGATGTCAAATGCAACCTAAGAATACTAAATACCTTGTGCTGATGTGTTTACTTGAAAATATACTCTAACCGCCATCATTGGATTTAACCTTCGCGTAAATTCTACATACTACAAACACTCATTCGACGCGACAATGTTTCTCGCAATGTATTTCTTCATAGTGAAAAGCGGTTCTTTTCTGAATACGCGAAACTGTCTAATGTGGAGCAATTCATGGCACAATATGACCTCAAAGAATTATTGCGCCAAACTCACATTTAAAAATTTTAACTGGTCGTTTTTTAAGGACTTCGCAAACATTTAATTGGTTCATTAGAATAATTCAAGGATGAACAGCTTTTGGTAACGCCGTTAAAAAAGTTAGTAAAATTACTACACTTTTGCTGCATCAACGTCTAGTAAAATTACAAATTCGGTAGTAGAATTGGCACTTGCTACATTATTGCGTCAATATTGCAGCAAATATATAGAGTTTTACCGGAATATATACGGAAATTACTACGTTGGGATTGTAAAATTACGATTCTCGTGTATGAATTCATTTATATTTTAATTTCCCAACACATTTGGTGGACTTCGTTAGAAGAAGAACGTCTTGTTTTGGATCTTGAGTAGATTGATGTCATGGAAAAGGTCGAGAAATCTCATCCGAAATTGAAGAAAAGACTCCTTTCAGATCAGCAGTTTTCAAGGTAATATGGAGAAAAAGCACGGTAAAATGGGTTCATTTGAACGGACCCAGAAAAATTTCGGTGGAATTTTGTTGCGGAATACACGAATTTTTCGCGGCAAATCCGACAAATACAATGCTTCCATTCGAAAGAACACAACGAAAAGGTCGACAATTGTTTGAAATGAAAACGGCACTCCGTACACGCACAGAATCCAAAATAATTCCAGTGTTCATCCTCGGGTACTCGATTGCGTCTCCCTTTTCTATCATTCACCTATGAATAGTTTGTTTCTTTATAAAGGAATTGTTTTTCAGTTTCTCTAACATTAAGTGAAAAACTGACCAAATCAGGATGGAACTCTCCGAATCAGGTTGGTTATTGAGTTGACCTAAAAAAAAAAAAATTCTTCACACTGAGTTGACTTAAGACTAAATTCTTCGACTCGGAAAAAGTCACTCAATCTTAACCCCTCACGTACCGGGTCGATACCCATGAAAATATGAATGACTCTCTTCAAAGTTGATTATTTCCAAAACTATGTAAAGTACCTCAACCAAACAAATAACAACTAAAAAAGGAATACTGTATCTTCAATTACATATCGGATTCATAACTTTCTGTTGAAGTCATCACATTCTAGTTCTATCGAACGTACAGCACGCTTGGAAACAAAAGGGTCCGTGAGGGTTTAGCAATGAAATGATCTCGTGAAATGAAAGGAAATTATCGTGAAATTTCCGTGAAACTATCTCACCTTTAATAAAGAACTTTTTATTTGACTTGGGGGTCATACCACGAAAAATTAGTGACAAAAATACTTGTTTTCCTGATTTTCCACTCGGAGACGGCTTGTTCATGTACCTTTTGTTCTAGAACGCCCGTTTAAAAAACGATGCGCTTGCCCAATCATCCGTTTCGCCAGAGGAGTCTATGTCTCATTTCAACGGACCGTTTCCCAAGTCCTCTAAAGGTCCTATGGTTTTCCAAACGGACCTTTGGAGGAAAAAGAACATGAACAAACCGGCCCTCGTTCAAGTTCAGAACCGCAAGTTCTTTGAAATCAGGGATATTTTTTTGGAAACTAAACCTACATTTGGTCTACGCAAGATTCAATCTCCCATGAAGGAAACCAATTGTCCTAAGCTTGACGACACTATCCTTAGTTTAACAAAACACTCTTCTCTACCTCAACAAGTCTAAAAAAGATGAAAAATGCGTAGTTAAAAAACCTGATTGATCTTAATGGAAGACGAATCTCCTCCATCACAGCAGAACCGATAATGATTAAACAACAATCTAGAGGCCAGAAATATAGCAGCTTTATCTCCTGTTTGACGAGTTATTGCAGGCGAAAATCCCCAATCGGTCTGTGGCCCCTGTGAAATAT